AGATAATGAGGTGGATTGTCCTTGTATCAAAATCAAATTCAAACTAAACAACAAATTTAATATCCCTAAAGTGCATGAGCAGATATAAGTAAATCTTTTATTCTATTAGATTAGACGCAAAGTGGTTAATCGTGTTTTATAATTATATTTCATTGCATATTATACATAAACATCACTCTCTTCATGCTTGTAATTTTTTATTTGTTTAATTATTTTAGCTTTTTATGTGTCTTTGTTATATATATATTAGTAATTTTAGAGAAACAATGTTCTAATTGCCAAAGAAGAGATAATTTAATCATTATAGATGATTGCATTATGCTTAATATTTTTTCTTCTCTCACCACATTTTTGAGCATATTATTACCAACTTTTTGTTATTATGTCTAGATCAATCAATTTACCTCTTTATTTGTTACCACTACTTCCAATATAAGACCCTAACGCTTTGACGATGTTCCAATTCTACTACTTCTTGCTCTAAATGTGTTCATTTACTCTGCTCTAATGCTTCGGCCTACGCTTTCCGTAAAACCAACAAAATACAAGGGCCAATAACTAATAAAGAAAAAGTTGAACTCGGTCGAGAGAACATTAACCTGCCCGACTTTGACACAAGTCACGTGACAGCTCCTACTTCAACCATGACGGACGACCACAATTTTCCTCCGGCCGACGAGGGCTTATCGCCGAACCCAGATATTGAAATCACCGTAAGAATCTCTCATTTGTCCTCTCTTATCGATTAATCACGTTTCCTATGCTGTCTACGTTGGATCATTGTTTAATAAATCTTTTTTTTTTTGGGGGTTATGTTCTTCTTCCCGGAAAATTGTGGAGTTTCAGAGCATTTAGCTGCTTAATTGCCGCATTGTGTGAGTTCGTTTTAATGGGGCATGCCGGGTAAAGTTGAAAGTAAAGATGGGTAACTTGCAGCTTGCTGTATAGTTACTTAATTTATTTAACCCCAAAGTGGTAGTAGAATAGAAATTCTTGGAATTTTAATTTTACTTCAGTTTATCATTTGTAGCATGATTGTTGAATTTACTGGAGAAATGTTCAAGGAATTGAAGTTTAATATAGTTGTAGCTACTTGAAATTCACCTAGTTTGTCATTCGTGGTTTGTTGTACTGGTTTACTATTGCTTCGTTTGGATTAGCTGTTTTTGACTATAACAGTGTATATGAAAAACTTTTATATGGAATTTTTTTTGAATTGTTTTTGTTTGTATATTACTGTAGCATTGTATTTGAAAAACTTGTTTTTGAAACATAGGGAAATATGTTTTCTGGTCGACTTATTTTTGTCCTTTCGGACTCCAGATGGAAGGGAGTTCAGAGGATGGCGAACAACTGCACCAAGATGAAGGCAGCGAGCAAGAGATTGATGGGGAGGAAGTCTTCGGATTTGAAAGTACTGACCTTGGAGATGACAGTAACCAGGTTCTTGCAATTGAACATGTTGATATAGCTAACACTGCTGATCAGATGCTTGGAATTAACAGGGATGACCTTGAGAATGATAAGCAGGTGCTTGATTTTGAAAGGAATGGCCATGATCATAATAGTGAACAGATGCTTGAGATTCAATGTGGTAACCTTGACAACGGCATAGATAGAGATACAGTCATAGACGATCAGAATCTTGTCTCTGGGGCAAAGGACTATCTTCCACCTGTGGTTGGGATGGAATTTGAATCTTATGATGATGCCTATAATTATTATAACTGCTATGCCAAAGAGCTTGGATTTGCAATCAGGGTTAAATCTTCGTGGACAAAACGTAACAGCAAGGAGAAACGTGGCGCAGTGCTCTGTTGTAACTGTGAAGGTTTCAAAACAATGAAAGAAGCAAGCAGTAGAAGAAAGGAAACAAGAACCGGTTGCCTAGCAATGATAAGGTTGAGATTAGTGGAGTCCAACAGGTGGAGGGTGGATGAAGTGAAGATCGAACATAACCATCCATTTGACCCTGAAAGGGTTCAAAACTGTAAATCACACAAGAAGATGGACCCAGGGAGCAAGAGGAAGTTGGAACCATCTGTTGATGTGGAAGTACGGACAATCAAGTTGTATCGTACTCCTGTAATTGATACGGTGGGCAACAGAAGCTCAAATGAAAGAGAGAGTGGGAACCAAGTTGACCAGTCCAAGCATTTGAAACTTCATCAAGGCGAAGCAGAATATATATCTAACTTTTTTGGTCGGCTGCAGTTGACAAACCCCAATTTTTTCTATGTTATGGATCTAAATGATGAAGGGCATTTGAGGAATGTGCTTTGGATTGATTCCAGGTCCAGGGCTGCATATGGTTATTTTGGCGATGTGGTAGCAATCGACACAACTTGTTTGTCAAAAAGCTACAATATTCCTCTGTTGTTATTTGTTGGAGTAGATCACCATCTGCAGTCTATTTTGTTAGCTTGTGGCTTACTTGTAGATGAAACCATGGAGACTTACATTTGGTTGCTGAGAGCATGGCTTTCATGTATGTCGGGACGTCCTCCACAAACAGTTTTAACAGACCGCTGCAAGGCCTTGCAAAGTGCAATCTCTGAGGTTTTTCCCAGGACTCACCATCGTTTATATTTGCCCCTCGTCATGCAAAGCATTCTTGATAAATTAGAAGTGGGGGCATCGAAAGTCTTTCAAGATGTACTTAATAGAACAGTTTACAATTCACTGAAAGCTGATGAATTTGAAATGGCTTGGGAGGAAATGATCCAGCACTTTGGACTCAGAGATCATAAATGGCTTCAGACTTATTACGAAGAGCGAGAAAGATGGGCTCCAGTTTACTTGAAAGATACCTTTTTTGCGGGACTAGTTACTTTTCCTCCAGGAGATTGCATGAGCCCTTTCTTCGATGGGTATGTAAATAGCCAGACAACCTTGAAAGAATTTTTTAATATCTATGAATTAGTTTTACAAAAGAAGCATCAGAAGGAAGCTCTTGATGACTTGGAATCAAGAAAGTATACACCCGTGTTAAGAACAAGGTGCAATTATGAGGTGCAGCTGTCTGAAGTGTACACAAAAGAAATATTTTTGAAGTTTCAAGTTGAGTTGGAACTGATGTCCGACTGTTTTAACGTGACACAAATTCATGCTAATGGCCCCATCATCACATACGTGATAAAAGAACGGGATGCTGAAGGAGACATGAATAATGCAAGAAATTTTGAAGTGATGTATGATAAAGTAGGATTAGAAGTTCGCTGTATTTGCAGCTGCTTCAATTTTAGAGGTTACCTGTGCAGACATGCTTTACAGATTCTTACCTATAACGGTATAGAGGATATCCCAAGTCAATATATCCTATCACGGTGGAGGAAGGATTTTAAGCGCTTGTATGCACCTGATATCGGCTCAAACGTAATTGATGTTACCAATCCTGTGCAATGGTTTGATCACTTGTACAGACGTGCCATGCAAGTTGTCGAGGAAGGGATGACTTCTCAAGATCATTATACGGTTGCTTGGCAAGCATTTAAGGAGTCTTTGAATAAAGTTCGTCTTGTAGCAGACAGGCATGTACAATGAAATTATATGCTACTAAGCCAGTGGTTCTTCTTCTGTACAGGAGCTGTGCCCTATTGTTCCATCTTCCATACAATCATACAAGCAGTCCAATTTCACAGTTTGTTGTATAGAGCAATATTGCCTGTATAGTTCCCTTACATGGAATAGGTGCCCTATCCTATTGGAGCATCTTATCATTCTGATTCATTAACAGAAGGCAATCGTGCCTTCGTTTGCCCTTATCCTTTTAAGGCTCTATATATGTGTGGGTACATGCGCGCGCGCGCGTGTATATATATATATATATATATATATATATATATATATATATATATATGAATGTATGCATGTATAGTAGAATAAAGGATATTTGTTGTGTTTGGATAGTAGCAATTTACAAAAAATAAAAACTATTTGCTTGTATCACAAACACATTTTTCAATAATTTTTTTTATCTTTTTAATCATCTTTTTAATTGATATACATCATATCACAAAAAATGATACACTAATTATTTCAAATGATAAATTATTTCAAATAATCTCTGGTCGAAACACACTTGAATGACGCCATAGTTGTGATTTTTGTTGGCGTGGGTACCATAGTAAATTGATGTCATGGAGCAGACTTTTTTTTTTTTTCAAGAATTTCTAGATAATTTACTGCCTTTTTTTGGGGAAAAAAAAAGCGTATTTGATAAAAGTTTAAGCAGGGATGGTCACGATTCAAGTTTGAATTAAAGTCGAACCAAAATTCGACCAATAATTTGTTGAACTGGAATTGGGACTGTAATTTGAAAATCAGAACTGGAGTTGACTAAAGATTTAAATTCAGATTTAACAAAAAATTTGAATCAAAACCGAACGCTTGATACTGAACCTATTTGACTAGTTTAGAATTTAATATCAATAGTCATCACCTAACACCAGCCGTCCTAATTCTAATCCAACAATCTATTGTCCCATCCCATTAGTAAATTTAGATTCTATAATTATTCTAAATTCAAGACTGATATAATTCAATCAACAATGAAGTATTTTTTCATAAAATTTGCATCATTTTTCTTTTTTCTTACACATGACAATATAATAAATTTTTTTTTTTTTGTTTCCTTCATTCGTTGTCATATTTTTTAGAATCAATTTTATAACAACAGGTGTTTAAATATAACTAAGAAATTGGAATCATAATTAAAAAAAAAATCAGAACCATAACTGGAATAAAGCCAAAACCAAAATTAGATTAAAACCGAAAGTTTAAGAACTGTCATCGTAACTGTTGTCTGGTTCACGTTTCACATTTGAGAAGAACCAAAATCATCAATTTTTAAATTAGAATCGCGGTTTTGAAACTGTCCATGAACATGTTTAAATAAATTGATGAAAGTTTTCATTTCTGCTTATGAAGAAATGAATAAAGTAGAAAATTAACTTTACTCGTTGGACACCAGTAATAATAATAATAATAAAAGAACTTAGCATAGCATGGTGAACTCTTAACCCACCGGATCAAACCATCCTCACTCCTCCGCCATATGGTTCGACAAAAAGGCTAAATTGGTTCGACCATGCGACCGTCTCGACGAACCTGTCAGGCACTCTCGCCGGAGAAGCACCTGTGATCCCTCCGGCCGGCCTGTTCGCTACCTCCGATCAATATACAGTAAGTGCAAGATCATTCTCTATTTAAATATGATTTCCTTTCAAAAGTTCCTTTTTTTCCCCTCTCAACACTGGTAAAGATCAGGAACTATATTCCGAGATATAAAGTCATTGAAATGCTTAATTTCTTCTGGGAGCTATCACTGCATGGCCAGCGTAATAGTTGATAAATGGCCAAGGACTAAATCTCCTTTTGACCTTTTAATATGTATGCTAGTATAGGTTTACTTTCCTCAGTGAATGTTTAAATTTCTCCAGGCTAATTCAGTATTAAAATGGAATCTTTGGCTGCCGGAACGGTACCGAATCTTATTTGAAAAATAAATTTTCAGTCTTTCCTTGGGAGGAATAAGTTGAACTTTCACTGTAGTTTGGCTAATCCTATTTTTGAAATTTGTCAATTATCTGGAGAATAGGTTTCCTTGTTCTGTGAATCTTGTCTCGTTGGCACTACAGTGTAGAATTTACTCACATACATTGGCTATGATGTGTTTGTGTCCGCAGTGTGACCTTTCAGGATTATCAATGTTGAAACAAGAGGAACATCTCTGGATATCACGCAAACTTTTGGATATTGAACTCTGTAACTGCAGCAGCAGACCGTAGTTTTCACTATTTAGGTAGGGGTTTTTCATTTTTGTTTTGTATATCGTGAATTCTGTATCCCTAATCTTCTATAATATTGTTAATTTATATTAGAGGACTTTTTACCACTGTTATGGGAATCAAAACTTTTGGAGTGTATATACTCATCTGGTTTCCTTTCAATTTTCAGATGGAAGAAGTGTCTGTTAACGGTGTTAACAGCGAGCAGGCAATTGAGGGACAAGGCTGTGAGACTTTTCTAGAAATTGATGATGAAAGAGCTGATTTGGATATTCAAAATGATATTCCTGATGGAAGAAAGGAATTTGTTGAACCTGCTGTAGGGATGGAGTTTGAGTCATATGAGGATGCTTATAACTACTACAGTTGCTATGCAAAGGAGATGGGCTTCCGTGTTCGAGTGAAAAACTCATGGTTTAAAAGAAATAGCAAGGAGAAGTATGGTGCTGTGCTTTGTTGCAGCAGCCAGGGTTTTAAAAGAATTAAAGAAGTAAACCGCCTGAGGAAGGAAACCCGAACTGGTTGTCCTGCAATGCTAAGAATGAGAATAGTAGATTCTAAAAGGTGGAGGGTTGTTGAAGTTACACTTGAACACAACCATTTGTTAGGTTCAAAGATCTGCAAGGCTGTTAAGAAGATGGGCACTGGATCCAAGAGGAAGTTGCAGTCAAGCTCTGATTCAGAAGTACGGACAGTGAAGTTGTATCGAGCACTTGTAATTGATGCAGGTGTTAATGGAAATTCAAATATTACCGTGAGAGAGTCCAGAAGTTCTTCTGATCATTCTGATCAGCTGAGTTTGAAAAAGGGTGACGCACAAGCCATTTACAATTACCTTTGTCGAATGCAGTTGACTAATCCAAATTTCTACATCTCTGTTGTTCATACTAATAAAAATACCAAGTGCTACATTCACCTGCCCACAAGCTGCATATATGTCAATTAGAGCGTTATTCAGTGTCAGATTTGACTCAATCCTGCCATCTTGAATACACTGATGAACGTGTTTTGCAGCATCCAGATCCTTTAGCTCTGAGCAAGCTGATAATACCAAAACAAGAGTCACTGAAGTGGGCAACGCTCTCTTCTCCATTTCTTTGAAAAGCTTTCTGGACTCCTCAAATTGTCCCATTCTGTTATATCCAGAAATCATTGTGTTCCAAGTAACTGCTTCACTTTTCTTACTCGTGTCAAAAACCAGCCGAGCCATATCAATCTGGCCAGACAAACAATAGACATGGATCAAAGATTGCTGAACAAATTCATTAGAATCAAAACCAAATTTACATATGTGGGCATGTGTTCCTTTCCCACATTCCAAGGGAAAATCTCGATTAAACCCCTTGAGCAAGAAGGGGAACGTGTAGTTATCTGGTTTCACGTTCCTCTCTAACATCTTCTTGTACAAAACAATTGCATACTCAGGATAACAGGTTTGGGAATAACCCTTTATCATTGTATTCCAGAGGAAGACATTTGGTTCGAGAATTGTGTCAAATACGTGGAGAGCATAATCCATGTCACCAGCATCTTTAGCGCAGCAAAAAGAAATGATTTTTGAATACGCTGAAACGTCTAAAGCTAAGCCTTTCTGGATAGCTAGGGAGTGAATTTGCTTGAGTTGGTCCAGGGTTTTGCTGTTTTGGAAGGGATAACCCAGATTTTGATGGGCTGCTGGAGCGGTATGCAGGCTACGAATTGGGTAAGCGGTAGAAACTGAGATAAAATAAATAGTCTTTTTGACAGCTCGATTGTGCATAAGAGAGTACAAATGGTGCATGATGCAATTCAGTCCTCCTAAGACGCGGAAGGAGTGGCATGCTATGGAACCAGAGGTGAAACTGGAAAACGTCGAATGAGTTCTGTTCTGTATTTTTTTTTTCATCTTTTCCTGGCCATCTGAGTTGTGTATATTAGTATTCAGTAATTTGGGTGACGGAGGGCTGACCAGTTGGTTGAAATACAAGTTGGGGGCCATAAATAATTCAACATTTTGGTGAGCAAGCTGGAGAATGTCTTAAATGTTTACATCCGAGCGTTACAATTTGAAATGGAGCAATTCCCAGAGAACTTGCAGTTGTTCTAACCGAGGTATCAGAGTATGAATGTCTTTATTTATAGCCTAAGAAAGCAAGTTTAAAGGCCTTCTCCACGATTGATTTTCTATCTGAAAAGGTGATATGTGTGCTCCAGTTACTTGTTTCTTGGGCATTAAACTCGATCGCTCTAGAAAAGCAGGAACATCTAAAGTTGCAATTTTTAGACGACCGTGCTTAGCAATTGAGAATTCCTTGTTCAAACCCATGTCTATCTTCGAGTCCAGAGCAAAAAGGGGCGAAACTAGCCATCTCAGTGTCCCGTCCATCATCATTTCCTGCCATGTAAATGGACACTTACTTTATCTTTCACCGTCCTTGTTTCTGTTGGCTTGGGCTTCAAAGGTTTCTGTCGAATAGGCTCCAAGTTTAATTAGTAGAAATCCAAAGTTATTTTGAACAGATAGATGTATCCAATTTGAAACAATTAGTATAATTTCTCTTTATGTTGTATTGACCAGCAGAATCAAAGAATGAATCTCTAAATCAAATACAAAGGTACCAAGTATTTAACACCTCCAACGACCAGTAAGTGAGGACAGAGAAAACGGAATGACTAATAATACGCCATACTTAGAAAAGAATTAACGAAAAAGAACAAATCTATACGAGAAAACTTCAATATGTATACCTATAAAAACCTATCTTTCCACACTAACAATTGCAGTTTGCATATCCAAACTTGTATCTGGAGATTCGTATTTGAGCCAATCCTTCGAACAGACAAGCGCTTCAAGAGTTGTTGGGCTTAAGGTGCTTCGGAAGCTATCCATCTTTCTCTCTGCGGTATCAAATACGGAATCAGGAGCAACTGTTGAGACGGGAATAGACAAAACATCTGATGCCATTCTCGATAGGGTTGGATACTTCAATCTATTTAACTTCCACCAACCCAAAGCATCAAAATCTGTACACGAGGCAAAAGAGATTCTTCCAGATACTGATCTAGTTCTGATTTCATCTGGTTGCTACTCATGATCTCTGAGATATAGATGTCAAAATCGGAAAGACCATCAGCACTTGAAAGTAGACAATCATCTTGAGATATCTCTGCTTTTATGATGGATTCACTAGCTTCGTCCAAGAATGTAGGTGGAGGAAGTGACTCCAGAACATAATCAAGATAGAGTTCATGCAGTCCCTCGTCAACAAGCTTGATCCAAGTTTCAGCTTCATTTTCATAGATCCTGGAAAAACTGAACTCCACAAGCTTCATCTTGAATCTGGGATCCATGACAACAGCAACAGCTAAAACTAGGTTGCAGTCCTTCCAATACTATCAAACCTATCCTTCAGAGGCTTAGTCAGGTTTCTAGTAAACAGATCTGGGCTCCTGGCAGCATGCATCAATTCAAGCTGAATTTTCCACACTTCATGAAAGAATGTATTTGAAGTTGGGTTAACTTCGGCAGTTAAAATGCTGGCAGCATCATGTAAAAGCTTCAAATATGTGCATAGAGTTTCAACTTCCCTCCACTCATCCATTGATGGAATTATTTGGTTCTGTGTATCAGAGATATCTAAGAAATAAAACACTTCCTTTAACTCAGAAGCAGCCAATAGCATTTCATAGGTAGTATTCCAGTTGGTTTGGTCATCAAGGACCAAGCTCTTTGTGCTGGGCACTTGAAGCTTTTGTTTCACTTCAGCAAACTTTTCTCGATGCTTCCGAAGTAATCACATACTTCACAATTCGACGGACTTTTTCAAGGGTGTTCCTCATTGACCACAACGCATCCTGTGCAGTACTACCTAACGCATGAGCATAACAGCTGCCAATAATCAGTTGACCATTGACAATAACCGAATTCTTGATCGATAATAGACCTCTAAGATTTGCTCTAATAGTCTCGCTACTGAAGGATTGATTAAGAGTGAGGGTAAATAGTTTGTTCTCAAAACACCAATCTGTAAAGCAAGCAGCAACTGCATGATTGAAGGCAGATTCTGAATCAGGAAATGGCAACGTGATAACACTAAGGATCCGCCGGTGCAAGTTCCAATCACAATCAACAAACTGCCCTGTTAAAATTGCATAACCTACAGTTTTATCTGAAGTCCACAAATCCAAACTCAGGCTAATGCGACCGGGAGCTCCAGCAAGAAGGCTCAAAAGATTTTGCTTCTCTCTCAAGTAGATGTTCACTACATGAGCTTCAATCATGTTTATGTTAACTGAATTATACTGAGGATGAAGAGCCCGTGCAAACCTAACGAAACCAGGGTTTTCCACTATGTGAAGTGGATAATCATGTTTAATAATCATTTTCGCTATCTCATGGCTGCAACTTTCTTGATCAAAGGAAATGGCTGTGAGTCCAGAGGTAGCCCTACGCCTCTTCCTTTTTCTATCAACAGCATCTGCTGAGCCATTGGTTTTGGGGTTTGGAATGTAGGGAGATGACTGATTTTTCTCCTTATTAAGCTTGCTCACCGGACAAATACCTAGGGCAATATGCCGTTTGAGGTGGCTTGTGCCAGCTAGTTTTGAACCAGTAATGTAGGCAAATGACTTTTTGCACTGCTTACAAAAGGCTCTGGTACAGTCTGCATCAATGTTTTCTACTGTGAAGTGTTCCCAAACAACAGACTTTTTTCTCCTGCGCTTATTGGGTTGTGCATCTGAATTTGGTGTTCCGTTGTTGTCAATAAGGGCAGCCATAAATGAACCCTGAAACAAAAATCCCAAAAAAATCATGATGGCGTACATTCCCATCAAATACCAAATCTCCTAGGCCAAAATGATGGCATAGTCTAATTGATACACCTCAATACTAGTTTTCATGATGATATAACTACAGCTAGCAAACTGCGTAAGGATAGTAACTGACATATATCAATCCAAGAGCAGAAGCAGCTACAAAAGAGTTTAAGTATTGCAGGGAAATCATGATTTAGAAGACCTAATACATTTATAAATTAACTGCACTCTCGTCCCAGGCCAAGGAAACAGAAGGTGTGCTTAAGAAGATCCTAGAGAAAATTTATAGAAACAGAATTTCAGAATAAAAGAGGTAATAACTAGGCTAGACAGAACAAAATCACAGAAACATTCTTAAATGCAGAACAAAAATACATTTTCTGTTCTGTTCAAAAGATTGAGCTTTACAACCATAGGCTCGGCCATTCACAGACCTATAACATAAAAAGACCTAGTACATGTGAAATACCATATCTGACATCACAAGACTATAATAAGTAGCCAATCACAAACTCCATCCCTTGTTTTCCTAGGTAAGCAAGAATAGCAACTATAACTTGCCTCAATTCTCATCTTTTACTACATAAGATAGAAAAGTCATTAGCATACATACGCTGTATCCATATTGATAAATTGTCAATTCACCGCCTATAATGTGAGCAAACAAGCAGCAAACAACATTTAAGAGCCCCATAAATCCCCAGTTCCCCAAAGAAAAATAGTTAAGATAAAAAGAAACCTTTTTGCCAGCCATAAAATTCAAAACCACCCGATGAAGCAACATAAAAGACAGGTACGCAGCAAACAAAATTTAACAGGCATATGAACCCCACAATAGATATGACACAAAGAAACCTTTTTGTCAGCTATAAAATACAAAAGCAACCAATAAAACAACATGAAAGACATGTCTTTTGATCGATAAACAGCAGTTCAGTTTGAGAACAAATTACAGTTTAGCGCAAAAAAGCCAGGACGGGGCCAAAACCTATAATACCTGAAGAAAATTTAAGAGTCATAGCGGGGGGAAAGAAAAAGAAAATTCTTTTAACCAAATTGAAGAATAAGAATAAACTATTGCGCGCAAGACAATCACATATGAACCATATAATATGTCAAACCCAAAAAATCTATTCGTAGAAACTCAAAGTGACACTAAAACACAAGACCCAGAAATCTGTTCCAACATTGTCAAATTCAGTGCCCAAAAAATAACAAAAGGAAAATCTAAAAGAAAAGATTAAAAAAAAGGCGCCAACAGAATAACTGCAAGCGGTTGCAAAATCAAAACCGCCGAGAGAAGAAGAACTTACTTTGGAGACCGAGGGTTGGAACTCGAAATCAGAATCAACGGAGGACCGGAAGAAATCGTCGAGGCAGCAGAGTAGGGTTTAGGGTTTAAGGTTTTGAGGATTAAACCAGAATTTTTTGAATTATTGGGGGAAATTTTTTTGAGGAGGGAGGGACGAGGGAGAAGAGAGAAAGATGGGCTTGAGCCGTGCAGGTATTATGAGAACTCCAAACCCTAAATGGACCCTTTTTAAGCAGGGCTGAGTTGATACAATGCGGCTATGAGCTTTTAGGTATTCAGGCCTTATTTATAAGACCCGACCTTCTATGTTCTTGACTTTAGTCTATTGGTCCATTCTGCATTTTCCTATTTTACTTTTTAGTCCTTAAGACTTTCTCGGGAAGTCTAACCATCACAACCGCCATAGGATTCAGCCCACCGTCATTCGTGAGCTCTCAGCCGTCTATAGTTTGGAACGGTGAATTGGTGGGGTCTTTTTTTTTTTTTTTTTAATATTTACTGTAAGTGGGGGTCTTACAATTATTAGTGTGGTTGACCTTACTCCTTCAACCAAAAAAAAAAAAAAATCTTCAAATTTTCTTTTTTGCTTTGATTTAAAATCTTTCGGAAACTGATTTGTACTCTTTTAGGTTGCAAAAATGAGAAAAAGTTAAATATAAACGGATTGGCTAACAATTGAATGTGATTAAAAACACTAATTGGATTATGCTTGAGATGGTAAATAACGTATTAACAAATACTTCTCTTGTCAAAGCTTTTCTATTCGTTTTAACTTCGCATTGAAAGAGTTGAGAGACTAACGTCAAATATAAGTGGTATCAGTTTGTTGCTTCTTTGATCTACATTTGAAATTAATTAGCAGTATCAAATAGCAGTCGTGAGAGTCTTAACCGATGAACTAAAAAGAAGCAGGCCACTGGATTAATGTCCACCATTTAACTGTTTGAAAGATTATTGCACCAGAAAAATAATCTGAACTTTTGTACTGTAATAATAATAAAGATTGGGGAAGAACTTTTGTAGGTTTGCTGCTTGCAGCATTAAATTAACCCATCATCTCATCCCATAAATATAATTCCTGGGTCAGTACCGAACGCATTTTTCTCTAAAATTTTTTTAAATATATTTTTTAATCTCTTTTTTCATCTCATATATATCAAATTACAGTAGTAATATATTTTTGTACGGAAATTTCGAGAAATAATAATAGTAATCCAAATGGTGTGGGCTAATAGTGTGTTTGGACAGCCAATTATTTGGCCAAATATATTTGCTGACATCACCATTACAATTTTCAATACACCTTTTTATCTTTCCAATTACCTTTTTATCTCACATACATCACATCACAAAAAGTGCTACAGTAAAAATATTTCAAATAACTTACAATCCAAACACACTTAATAATTATTCGTTTTTACCGGTACCCAAGGACCTGTTGGCAGGGCTTTCCAAGTTTCCAGCCAAGCAGAAGGTGAAAAGGTGCAAATCATCATTCATTCTAGTGAGAAAACTCAAAACAGTGGATCTTTTCTTTCGTACAGTACAAAGGGGCTTGTCATGGTGACACCCTTTTTCAAGTCACTGTATAGTACCAAATTAAGATCAACTTGGTTGGACGAACGCAGCCAAAAGCTCGCAGAAAAATTAGCAAGTGACAGTGAGTTGGCTGCAACCCTCAATCATCGTCAGAAGATGGATACGTGGCCACGCAGTTTATAGTACCAATTTGTTGCAGGAACTGAAAAGCAAATTAAGCTACCAGCACAAGAATACTCCTCATCAGGCATGATGGGAAATATTCTTGAAGTTGATTAGCTTCTAGATTATAGTAGTTGATAGATATGAAAAATTGCTAGCTACCACGCAATAATCCAAAGACTTTTTATATTTGGGTAAAAACTAAAAACACACAACAGTAGTTACCTAAAAGTGATAACTAATTAATGACAGAGCACCCTACAGCACCTATAATGATGTACGTGCATCACTAACAAACCCATATAGTATGTGTGTGTATATATATATGTGTGTGTGTATACACACATATTACATTCGCTATGGTGGTGATGCATGTTATCATCAAATTGTTTATCAGGTCACCCGTGGGGGCCAAAACCCGGTTGGACCCCTCTTCTGGCGTACATGCAAGGACATTTTCTCTGCCTCACTCTCCATCAAAGCACAGGCGCTGAATACATACATGCAAGCACGTACAAGTTACGACCCAGAAAGCAGAAAGGCACGATAAATTTCCGAAAGCAAGTACCGCCGGGCACCAGGGGGAACACAGATTGGAGTAGTAATATTTCATTCAAAGAAAAATCGTAATCAGTGATGGTGTTGTGGTGTGATAATGCCTCTACACTGACTCCAAAATCAGACGTCCTATGGCTAAAATTGTGGAACCTATCAACCAAACTCCTGAAAAGGACATGCATCAGAAATTTCCTACTATATCTATATCATTCTAGCTACCTAGCCGGTTAGCCTACCATGGTCGGCCAGTGGCGGAGCCACATATGGTTGAAATTTGGCAATTGCCCCCTCTCAACTCTTGGACCTTCTTCAAGTTATGTAATCATTGACCCATTTGGATTGAAAGTTATTTGAAAATTTTTCTTCACTATAGCAATTTTTTATGTAAATTATGTGAGATAGAAAACAATGTTAAAAAAATGTGTGTTGAAGACAAATAAGAAATACTTTTTAAAAAAAAATTCTAAATTTCTTATGTTCCTTACTCAAATAAATAGAATGATCTTATTGCGGCTAAAACAAGTAAGTTCAATTAGTAAGAACAGATTACTTTCTCACAAAAGGTCGTGTGTTTGAATTTCGCTGCCGATGTGAGGATTGTGTGAGCTGTATTGGTGGGTGAATCCCGCTGTCAAATGTGAGAGTTGTGTTGATGGCGAACTGTAAAAACATGTTTAAGCAACCTATAGTCCTTGAGGTATCACCTGACCTGTGGTGGTGACCGGAAATAAATCCATCCAAACTTTTTTTTTTTAAAAAAAAAAGGATGATCTTATTGCTAAATAAAAGTCACCAAGTTAGCTTTAACAGTACATGTAAAAATATGTCCATCAGACAATTTTATCACATCAAACACAATAGTTGCACATTGCAACCCCCTGATTTACGTTAGGATCCTGACTCCGCCTCTGAGTCCATGGTGTATTTAGTAACTAATCTCTTAACTTTGTCGCTAATTTACTACCTTTGAAGCTCCAGATTTAAATATATTACTTAAAATTTAGATAATCCTGCATGATTTACTCCGAACTCTTTTCCATGTCCTACATACCATGACTGGTAAATAAATCCCTGGTTGGCCGCTTAGGTAATTAACCTAATTAGTTCCTTAAGTTAACTCATCAAGCTAAGTCATCAGGACTTTTCCTTCCCTTCCTGAATCGCGACAGTTAGCTGTGCTTTTCTAAGTTGCTCCTTCATTGCTTATTTTTTTCCCCATTTCTTTTTTAGGAAGTTGTTTCATTATGCTCAGCCTCCGGCGCAATTATTAAAGCTAATTAAGGAGACCATTATCCTTAATTTTGTTTTTTTTTTTTCTCTTTTAGCTAGTAATCGGTAGTCTGTGTAGGGAGGAAACTAGAAGCACTTTAAACCAAAATATTTTTTAGTACAGGATTTTCCGGAGTAAACTGATGGTTGAGAAATGACAAATCCTGTATGCAGACCTATTTGTAGAGATCTAGGGCAAACTTAAAGAAGTGAAATCATTTTTCACCTTTTTTCTTTTTTGGTTTCTCGAGTGAAATGCATAAGGTGAAAACAATTAGGTGGCATTAATTCACTTCAAACCATTTTTGTTCTAAGAATTATGTAATGAATGTGCAGTTAGTCGCACGAAGATAGAGATGATGTTGGTATATGAAAGATACTCATCTGAACAAGCAATTTTTGAGCAACAATGAACGAAAACCAGGAAAGTTCCACCGCAAAAATAAAAATGAATAGGCACCAGAAAATTCAAAGAGGACATTACCGGCCGGGGACCGTTCAAGAAGATCTCCAACTGTTTTCACTTTTTAATTTCTGCCTTTACTTTAGCTTGTTTGAGTTCACAAAGGGTCTCACTTGAAGTGCATGAACGACAAAAATAAGGCCAAAAACAGCTGAAATAGTACTGCAACAATTTAGTTCTAGATGTTGGACAAACAAGATGTAGAGGCAAGAGTCAAGACCAATGATCACGACAAACCAAGACCCACAAGATTCTGGAATGGACAAGTCCAAATTTTGTTCATAATAACATTGACGCTACAATGCAGCATAAAACTTAGCTAAAAGGGAAGATGATTAAACAAAAAATGAAATAACGATTTATCGAAAATTTTGGTTTTCATATTAAGATTCTTTAAAACACCACACAAGGATAGTAAAATTACCAGGGTTAGCTGTTCAACATAAAACCGTATCATACTGCTAAACTCCAGCAAGTTGGAGAAGAAGATGTATATAGGAAGTTGGATCGCCGCTAAGATAAAATCATGAAGTCCTAATGTGCCTTGTTTTCCCGCAGCTTTCTTGAGCTTCTTGATTAGCTCGAAGAGTTAGGATAGCAGCTAATAGAAGTTCAAGAAAGCTGTGGAAAAGCATGGCTGGACTTGCAGCAGCTAGCCCTCCGGTCTTCAATGCTGTAGAACAACATGACTCAATTATATTGGAGCATGGAGATGAAGGTGGTGTGGAGAGAAACGGGCGTGATACATATGATCATCAGGACCACCTCTAGCCTGTAGGAATACGCAATCTGCATTACAGCTTTAAAGAATGATGGCAGAGTGGAGAGAAGAGTGGCCTGTAATGTAGGGTTCACTTCCACAGCAAAAAGTTAAATGCACGTATATAACAGCTTAGTAGGATTCGGTGCCTCCACGGCCAGAATAATTCCTCCCCGGTATTCCCCCGGTTACATGGGCTCGCTCCTTTTCTCTGTCTAGATCTATATATTTTCTACCTTTTTTTTTTTTTTTTGGTTGCGGAAAAAACTTAAGAGACAAAAGAAAGTTGTGTGTTGAGAAATTGAGCGTTGCCAAAAAAGTGTTAGTATTATTGTTAATTTTGAGTGTAGGGGTAAGGGTAATCTAATATCTATGCTTAATTTTTTTTTTTTTTGAAAATAATAAGTTTAAATGAGTTCGATTTTGACCCCCATTAAACATCAAGACATACGACTTATTAGTCGCTTATAAGATT